TCCAATTTAAACCTCCCCTGACAGAGCTCCAGCCATTTCCTGGTCACCAGAAGGAAGAGAACCCCAACAGCAGAGCCTGATTTCACTTCCAGCAAGAAAACAAATGGGATTCAACTGATAGAAACTAGCAAAGTACTTGGTGCCCATCAATAAGACTTTGTCAAACCCAACCTTGCAAAAAAATCTTGAGACCCAGTTTGCTAAAGGCAGCCACAGGCCCAACACTGCCATGAGCTCTTCGATCACCATCACATAAAACACCCAGAAGGACACCAGGAGCACCTGGAGAGGGTTTGAGGGATTGCACGGGGCCAGCTGGACAGCAGGAGCTGTTGGTGACCTCATCAGCACAGCCAGGGGTGGTTCTTCAGGACATCACTAATGAGCAGCAGCATTGGAAATGAGGAGAGAACCAGAATAATGAGAGAGCAACTCAGTCAACTGGTTAGTTGGGTCTGTCCCAGCTGTGTTTTAGACCACAGAAATGCAAATCCAAATCTCCAGGAATGAAGCCTGTAAACACCACCTGTGTAGAGGAGTCTGGATCCTGGAAAACAGGGCCAGGAGGAGCAGGGAGGCCACAGGTTTGCAAGAAGCTGCACGGCACAAATTCCCAGTGAGAAATGAGAAAGCAACACTTTGGTGTGGCCATCCCCAGGGAAATAAAGACCCAGATCCCACAAGGGTACATTACCCCTGTGTTCAGCCTGCAGGAAAATCACTCCCACTGTCCAGGGCATCCACAACAACCACGGGGTGACATGTGGCAAATGTGTCCCCAAAGGATGGCACATCCCCAAGGGGCTGATCAGGGCAGCTCTGCTTTGGGGCTGCTCAGCAGGGCACTCTGCCCGAAGGGCTGGGACTTGGTAGGAGATTCCTGCAAATTCCCAGTGTTGGGAAGCCACATGAGCCTAAGTGCTTGATGGAGGAGATGGAGCCTGTTAGCAAAGTGGGAAAGGGAAAGGAGGGAAAGGAGGGAAAGGAGGGAAAGGAGGGAAAGGGAAAGCACAGGACCCCTTGTGCTGAGCTGAGGAGGAGCAGCAAGAAGCAGAATCAATACCAAGATTCCAGAGCTCAGAGCAGAGCAAGCTCTGCACCAGGCAGGTGAGCCAGAAAAGAATCTGAGGTAGGAGACCAGACCTTCCCCTAAGATGGATTTTAGCCTTTGGAATTGTGCTGGGCTTGACTGGGATAGAGGTAATTTTCTTTGTAGCAGCTAATCCAGGCCATGGTTTGGATTTGTGAGCAGGCAGCTGTACAGGGTTTAGTTCCCAGCCAGGGTTAAACCACAACAGGAATTCTGGAAGAACTGGGGAGTGAGTTAATGATATGCCATCAAATCACTTATCTTCATCTAATTGAAGATAACCTGGGAACTGAAATTCTCCTCTCCACACCACGAGAATCCCCATCCTCGTGAGCTGAGGCCGGGAGGTCCAACTCCTCACTCTGCTGCTCTCCAATGTCAGAGCTCCAACACCAGAGCTGTGATTGCTCCAAGGAAAATGTCCCATTGCATCCAGCAGCCTAGCAAGGACAGGTGGGCACAGACCCCACTACTGGTAATTAACACTCTGCTCATTAGCAGGGTCCATTTGCTCACCTGGATGCTCAATGTGGTAATGGAACTCCTGGAGGTTTTCCTTGTTGTCCAGGGGTGCCAGCACAGACCGAGGGCCCTTGTTGACAGTGGGATCTGTCAGCAGATCGTGGGTGATTCTGCCATAGGTGTCCCCAAACTTGAAGGAGAACTGAGGAACGTAGCCCCCATAGCTGAGGAGGAAAGCAAAGAGGAGCCATCACCCAGATGGCAGGGGGAGATGTCCACTGGTGGGGTAATCATGGAATCCCAGACTGGTTTGGTCTGGAAGGGACCTTAAAGTCCAGTCAGCTCCACCCCCTGCCGTGGGCAGGGACATTTTCCACCATCCCAGGTTTCTCCAAGCCCTGTCCAGCCTGGCCTTGGGCACTGCCAGGGATCCAGGGCCTGCCCACCCTGCCAGGGAACAATTCCTGCCCAATATCCCATCCAGCCCTGGCCTCTGGCAGTGCAAATCTGCTGCAGGGTGTTTGTACCCTGGAGAGGCCCTGTCCAGGAGCCCAGGGAAGGTGAGGGGTGGGATGAGCCCGGGTGGAGCAGCAGCACGGGGGGAGAACTGAGACCACACGTGAAGTTACACAGGAGGACAGGAGGGAGTGTCTGTGCTTCACATGCAGGTTCTCCTCTGGCAGCATGAAACCTGGCTCATCAATTCACAGGCAAGTACGGGCACAGGCCTTTGGTTCCTGGAGGAACACAGGATGAGGTCAGGGAACAGCATCTGTGGATGGGAAAACTCCCAGCACAGCCTGGGCTGCAGTGGCTTTGGCAGCACCAACATCCACAATCCCCCAGGTAAAACTCCAGCTCGATGTGCCCCAGTTCACACTTTGCAGTCCCTCTCTGCTCTGACACACGGCGAGTAACTGAGAAAATCCCAGTGTCTCTTGTTCATTATTGAAACTCAAAAATCAGAATCATTCCTCACTTGCACCCTCCTCCCTCTGCTCACAGTGAGGAGTGGGCTGGGGCTGATGAGCCCAGCCAGGCACTGCCTGGCACAGGAGGGGGCACAGGGAAGGTGATCAGTCCCAGGAACAAACAAAGCTCTGGTTTTTTGGGATCTCTCCACTGCCCAGTCCCTGGGATGGGCACTGTGACTTGCTGATGGCCAAGGGCAGGGCAGGTGCTGGAGCTCTGGCTCTGCTCCGAGTCACCATCAGAAACTCGAGCTGTTCCAGTCTCAGATTTCCTAATGGTGATGTTATTCCAGCACTGAAGAAAGGTAGAGCAGCCAGTTGCAATGGACAGACAGAAATATTCCATCAATGAGCCCAGCGTGGATCTGGGGATAAAGCCAGATGATGCACGAGGATCATAAGATGATGAGTAAGTCCTTTCCCTTCCAAATAGTTGAAACAACAGCGAGCAGAGCTGTGCATTTACTCTTGGCAGCTTTCCCCACTCTGCATGCAGGATGCCTCCCCAGCAGATCACTGGCTCATCCCCAGGGGTTCTCAATGAGTCTTGCAACACAGATGACAAAACTGAACAAGGGCACAAATGACACAGCCCAAATAATTACAGGATGGCTGGAGGGATTTTGATCATGGACAAAATAATGGCTGGGCTGAGAAAGGGCTCTGTTCCCCTGCAATTAAACACGAGGTGACCTGAGCGAGTCAGTCTGGGTGCACAAGAAGGGATCTGCCACAGAGAGAGTCACAAGTGCTGCTGGTAAATCCTGGGAAGGGCTCAGCCTCAGCAGGGCTGTCTGTGCCCCTGTGCCCCCTGTGGGGGTTGATGAAGGACCTCCTTTTGGGGATCCCTGTTTGGGGGCAGTGGTGAGCAGTGAAAACCCTCTCACCCTGCCCTTGCTCAGCCCTATCTCCTCCATCACCACTCCCAGGCTGCCACCCAAACCTGCTCTGCCTCCCTGGTCGCCAGCAAAGCCTTGGCCTGGGGCCCATCCTCACTTGTCTCCAAACCCTTCCCAGCTCTGCAGAGCCAGGCTGTGCTCAGGATTCATGGATTGAGCCCTTCTCTGCCCAGACCTTCCCAAGCTATCCCACTCATTGAGTTTAGGTCTCCCAGTAATCGTGAGCACTTTTCAAACTCCTGCTGTGACCATTGCCTGGCCCGAGTGACAACAATGTGCTTTGGTGCTCTCATGGTGCTTGTAGGTTCACTGGCACAGGTGCTGCACATGGGACACCTGGGGACATCCTGGACACAAATCCTCCTCCTGTGACACCCCAGTGCAGGGCTCTGCTGGTGATGCCCTTCAGGCAGCTCCTCCTCATCCTCAGTACCCAAAGCAGATGCAAAGCAGCACCCCAGGGGCTCAGGGGCTGCCCTGAGCCTGCACAGCACCAAGACAAACAACAGCAGGATTTTATTCCTCCTCCTGCCTCCAGAGCCAAAGCAGCTCTGAGAGGAGCAGCCCCAGCTGTTGTGTCCATCTCTGCAGGCAGGCAGGGGTGATCAAGGGAAGGTGTTGAGGTTTTGAGGCTGCAATTCCAGCCACAGCTCCCTCCTTGCTGTCCCTCGTGTGTCCCAAGCTGCTGCCAGCACAGCTTTGATGGCACACATGGAATGTCACATCAGATGGCTACAGCAATGCAAAAATGAGTTAAAAACCCTCAGCCTCAGAGCTCATGTTAGAGGGAAGGTACAGAGATCTGTAATGGAAAATCCTGCGTGTCACTGTAAGGGGAAGGGCTGGGCCCTGCAGGAGCAGCCTTAGGGAAATGTGCTCCACCCTCTCCTGTGCTGGGGATCTGCCTCCCCAGACCTGCCCTGCCCCACAGGACCTGGCTGCCATTCCCTGTGCCAGGGCTCACAGCCTGCTTCACCTCAGCCTGGGCTAATCCAAAGGATTTCATGCCCACAGCAGTTGCTTTTCCCCTGGGGGCCACCCAGCCCTTCCCATCCCCTTTACACATCCCAGCCCAGGTCTCACCACAGGACCCCACACACAATGTCTCAATTCACAGCAAATCCCTTATTCCTCCCATTCATATCTTACCTTCTCCCCTGTAACTCATTGCTTCACATCCAGAGTTTCTTCTTTCCAAGCCTTTAGAGGAGAGTGTCACAAAGAGCTTTGGAAAAAATCCAACTACTTATGGAATAGAGCACAAGACTTCCCAGTCCCTGACCCAGTAACAGGACAGGGCTCCAGCCTAGTGACCAGAGGGTGTCACATCTGTACAACCATTTTGTCAAAGGAGACTTCCAAAAATCCTTGATGCCAATATTAAGACAGTTTGGAAGCCAAGCCCTACACAGTAGCTCCAGTGACATTTGGCAGCTTAAAAGAACTGGGGGAAAAGGGAGGAAAATAACAATTTTGGCTTTGCTCTCCATGTGCTACAGCATGGTCTGTAACTCTACCCTTCTGTAAGGTGCTCTTTCTCCTGGAGTTTTCTCTCCTTCAGAGCATGGCTACATGGAATATTGAATAACGTCTTTAAAAAAAAACCCAAAACATCCTGAGTCACAAACACTCCCTGACCCCAACCAGAGCCACTTGCAATGGAAATGGATGTTTTGGATGAACTTACCCAGGGATGTAGTAGGGGTTTCGAGGGAAGATGTTGTTTCCTTTGGAGCCTGCCATGATGATGTTACAGCTCGTGGTGGGGAAGGGGGAAGGAGACACAGCTCAATGCAGTCACCAGGGAGCCTCTGTGATGTCAGCCCCCAACAGGTTCCACCAGCAGCACAAAACCCCCCAGCTTCTCCTGGACACAGCTCATTCCTTCCCCACCTGGAAGTTTTGGATGAGCACAGGAATTTTACAGCTCCCTGTAAGTGGCCCCATCACAAACACACTTCCATGGTTCACATCCCATACCAGGACTCTGGAGAGCCTGGGGATGCCATCCCTGGCTGTGCCCCCCAGGTCAGGTTCTGCTGTTTCCACCAGGGACAGTTCAAGGCACAGGCTCAGGGATGTCCTGGGCTGCAGGGGAAGCTCAGGCAGATGTTTGAGGATGGGATGATCCTTCAGTGCCTGATTCCTGCAGGATAAAGGTTGCTCCCATTCTCAACATCACACAGCCACGTTGCCTTGCAGGTGCTGCTGGGTTTCTCCCAGAACAGGGGCTCCTGTTCACTGAACAGCCCAGGCACAGTTTGGGTTGGGAGGGGCCATAAAACTCACCTTGTCCCACCCCTGCCATGGCAGGGACCCCTCCCACTGTCCCAGGCTGCTCCAAGCCCCAATGTCCAACCTGGCCTTGGGCACTGCCAGGGATCCAGGGGCAGCCACAGCTGCTCTGGGCACCCTGTGCCAGGGCCTCCCCACCCTCACAGGGAACAATTCCTGCCCAATATCCCATCCAGCCCTGCCCTCCTTCATCTTAAGGCCATTCCCCCTTGTCTTGTCCCTCCATGCCCTCATACACCTCCTGTACATTGAGCTGATCAGCTCACAGATCTTTGGGAAGAAAAACATGGAATATTTTGTATGTGATCTTAGGACTGGTCACTGATGCAGTTTAAACTTCTCACACATGTGATGTTTGAATTAAAAATTAAATAAGCATGAACATGCTTGGCTTTTAGACATTGCACTGTGCTAAGTGTTCTTCAGCCTTCCAAAAAATATAGAGTAGCTTCTGAAGCTGAAAATTACTAACTTTTTTCTCTCTAAATTCCCCTCCCAGCTGACTGGAATTGCCATTGGAGCTGCAGCCATGCTACTACTTGAAGTAGTTGTTTGTTTGTCATGTATGGGATAATGAGACTATTTAATTATTAAACTTACTGTGTAAGTTTTAAAACCAGATTTTCCATCAATCTTGAGTATTTTTGTCATTTTCTGTAGCAGTTGTTTGCTGTAGAGGTGTGGTTCTTGCAGGACAACAGCTTTAAAGGATGGAGAACTTCCCCAGGTGTGAACCCAGAACTGTCACATGCAGGACCTGGAGGTTTTATTTCCTTGGTGTATGAGCAGTGTCAGCCTCAGGATCAGTTGTGAATTCTGCAGATGATTTCAACCCTACTGTGATTTCACTGTCACAGGAAGGAGAAACGATTGAATGAGAGGTTTCCTTCAGGAGATGAAAGCTACCCAGTCCTTCTGTCTGTTTAGAGAGCCCTCTGTGTCCTGTGGGGCTGAGGCAGAGCCTCAGGGCAGCCCTGCCTTGGTGTGCCTTGGCCAGAGCTGGGGAATGAGGGATCCCAGGGTGGTTTCAATTCCAAACTCTGCCCACAGGAGCTGTTGTGGAGGCAGCAAAGTCCCCAAGCTGTGCTCAGGTGCTCTCCCAGCTGCTGAAGGTGGTTTCTGATGTGATGCTTCTGTTTCAGAACAACTTCAGCCACACGTGCCTCAGTACAGGTTTCGCAAGAGGGACAAAGTGATGTTCTACGGGAGGAAGATCATGAGGAAGGTGAGGACACCTGGTAAAATCCAGTTTGGGAGGTGGAAAGTTTGCAATACTTCACTTGTTGAGCCTGGCCCGGGTCCTTCAACCTCTAAAATCTCACTGGGATTGTGTGGATGTTTCAGAACTCCTGCAATACTGACTGGATTGCTGATGGAGCAGCAGGAGCTTCTCTTTCTGGCTAAACCTTTCAAATATTGAACAATATTTGCAGTCAGTGAGGGTAGCAATGAATCAATGAGTATCTAACTCCTGTAGGGAGTTAATGATTGTTTAAATATCCCAGAATCCCAGACTGGTTCGGGGTTGAAGGGACCTTAAGGATGATCTTGTCCCACTTTCCCAGGTTGCTCTAAGCCCCATCCAGCCTGGCCTTGGGGACACTTCCAGAGATGGGGCACCCACAGATTCTCTGGACCACCTGTTGAATATTTGAGGGTTGTTCTTACCTGTTAAGGTGCTCAATTCCCTCAAACTTATATCTGAGAAGATAAAAATGCTGCTTTTCCCTTGGTGCCTAAACTGAGAGATTTGGTATTTTCAGCCTTTATAAAATACATTTGAGTTTGCCCAAATACCCAAGCTCTGATCAGGGGAAGCCCTGCCCAGCAAGCCCAGGCCTGCAGGGTGGCTCTGAAGGGAATGATGGCTCAGCTCACAGGGACACAGTCAAAGACCAAGAGGCAACACAAGCACAGGGTGCAAGGGAAAGGCCCACCAGGCACCAGGAAACAATTCTTCATGGGCACAGAACAGCCCTGAGACAGGGTCAGGGATGGCATCTCCAACCTTAGAAATTTTCAAAGCCCAGAGCAGCCCAAGGGAACTTTGAAATTAGCTCAGTTTTAAATGGACATGTGATAAAGGACCTACAAAGGCTCCTCCCAGCCTAAAGCACCTGATTTTAACACTGAGATAAAAAACTTGCTTATTGAAATGCAGCACCAACCAACAACCCCAGGCCCATCCACGTCCCACCAGCACAAGGGGATTTGGGCTGGCACTTTTCCAGCATTTCCAGAAACTCCCTTCAAAACTCTCTTAATGGTGAGTGGCTGCTCCCTCCAAAGGCAGGGGTCACACAGCCCCTAAAGAGCTACTGAACAGCCACACCAAAATATCAGTTCTCAGGGCAGACAGCTGGGTACGTAAAAAGAAGTGGAAATTCACTTTTGTCAAGGTTATCATTAGAATTTATTGATATGAGACAAACTTTGTATGTCACCATGTCAATGGAGGAACAGCATGTCCAGATGTCACAGAAGCACAGAGCCCATCCAGGGACACTCCACCCCCTGGGAGCTCCCAGCTCCAGAGCACAGGAGACCACACACACGGCTGGGTGGTACTGGGGACATTTCCTGGGGCAGGAATGCTCCAGAAATACCTTGGCTGAGTGGTTTGCCAGACAGCAGCACCCAGCAGGGAAGGACAGCTCACCCCAAGCCCCTCCAGTCACAGGGGACAAAAAGAAAACCTGTTTGGGGTGAGATTGCAGGAGCCCCTGCAGGGAGATGAGAGCACTTGGCCCCTCTGGCTCCTCAGCCCTAAAGGGGCTCAGAGGAGCAGCTGTGGTGGGGACACATCCCCAGCAGGACAGCCCAGGCACAGCTGGAGCCTTCCCAAGGAGCAAACACAGCCATGCCATGCTCCAGCCTGGCATCTGCCCATTCAGAAGCAGAGTTCTTCTTTTAGCACAATTATCCCTGTGTTGTAACCACTCAGACATTCCCCTCTCAGCAGTGCCCTCACAGCACAGCCAGCCAGTCATCTATGCTTGTGGCTAAGATGAAAATTATCTTTATAATCTTTACTGGAAATACATTTTATACTGGATTCTACTTTTTTTAAAAAAAGCCAAATGCTGAGCTTTCATCTTCTCCCAGTTTATGAAATATTTGGTTTGGTCCTATAAGTATCTTGCTAAATGATTAGAGAGGGAATAGCAGAGTATTCCCCAGGCACCTGGTAAATCCACAATGGATTTATTGTAGAAACACACTGAATTCTCTAACTCATTCCAAATGGATTTCAGAGCCCTCTAAAACCCTTCAGAGAATGAGCTGTTTGTGACAGGACACACAAAAAGCAACCCCAAATTCAATGAGTAACCAGCCTGCACTGAGATAAAGGACAGGAGATGTGCCAGCCCAGCCCTGGGGCCTCTGTGACAGTGACAGAGCCTGAGCTGCCCCTGCCTGGCCATGGCACCAACCTGCTGCACACCTGGACAGGAACCTTTGGCTCCTGACACACCATGTGGCCTGTGTGCTCCTCCTGTCCCTCTCTGGGAGCTGTGACAAGTGACAAAGAGGGTTCTTCTCTCAGCCATCCACCTCTACCAAATCTAAGTTCCCTCTCACACATAACAGCATTGATTTAGAGATCTCATATTGATGGGTAATTATACAGGATTAATTGCACATCAGTCCATTGTGGCTACAAGTTCATTAGGTTAATAAATCTACATAGTGACAGTAGTACAGTATCAGCTACTTCTCAATACAAACTCCCTACCCTAACCTTAATTTGTAGGTCAGAGGAAGATCTTCTAACACAGTGACCTCCCAATGACCTTTAACATTCATTTTAAAACCATTTTTTCCTAGAAAACAACAACAAAAAAAATCCAGTGTGGGGAAAACGCACATATATAACCAAAGCAGTGCTTAACAACCACAGGAAAACAGAACATCATCTTGGACTCTTGTTTCAGCATCTTCTGTGGACCCTGGCAGTGCCACTCCCAAAGGGTTCCTAAATGCTCCGTCAGTTCCCAAGTCCATTAAACCATTTCCCAGCTCCAGGTGTTTCTGGCCTCTCACCATTGTCTGTAGCAAGAGCACACAGAAACACTTGCTCATGTGCACAAGACTTCCATCAGATTCCATGGAATAGCTCTGGGAGGCTGCAGGATTTCCTTCCAGACACTGCTCTCGAGTGGCAGCACTCTCACCAACCCGAGCCTTCTCTTCCAGCCAGGAGAGAGCTCCAAGTCCCTCCAAGTTCTACTCATTCCTTTTGCCCAAAGATGTATGGGTATCCAATAAAACCCCTCTCACAGTATTCCCAGGAAATGATTCAGAAGAGGAGATGATTTTCCAACCAAATGAGATCCTCTGGTCCTGTGTGTCAGACCATGGCCAAGAGAATGAGCAGCTGCCATGGACGTCCCAACTGCAATAGGGCCCAGTCAGGGAGGGGGGCCAGGTGGCCTGACTGTGAGGGACAGGCAAAGAGACCCCAAAGTCACTCTGTTCTCAACGGTTTGCCTCTTTCCTGGACTCAAATGTTGGATTCCATTTGTTCTAGCAGGAACTGGTGGATCATGTCAAAAGTGGGACGATCTTTGATATCCCTGCTCCAGCATTTCAGCATCAGGTCGAACACAGGGTTAGGACACAGAGGAGTTTGGGAGAGATAGATCTGAAAGGAAGAGAGGCACAGTATTTCAGTGGGGCTCTCACAAAGGAACTGAGCCTTTACTAAAGCAACACCAAAAGACAGTTTCATTCCAGGTTTACAAGACACAGCCACCATGCAGTGTTTGGAATCCCTCCAGCTCCAGTCTGGCACTGGAGTCTGGACAGAGCCTCTCAAACAGCACCACGGACACTTTGCCAACTTGTCTGATGAGCTGGTCACAAAACAGGCCTTTGTCCCCCAGAAAACATGAATGCTTCTGATTTGTCTTCCAAGAGACAGCAAAACACAAACCAAAACCAAATTTACCACAATAAAATCCAAGTACTTTAAACTCACCGTAGATAACCCATGAAGGTTTCTAAGCATCGTGACAGCTTGTTAGCAGAGACAGAAAAAACACCTTTTAGAGCTTATCTACAGCACAGCTTGGCAGAATGATTTCATTCTCCCTCTCATTTCTTAGGCTCACTTATTTTAGGTTCCTGGCTAATCACAGGTATTTGGGAGATGGTGAGTAAACCCTTCATCATTTTATTTCCCTTAATTCTCTGGTGGTAAAGGTGAGTTTTGGGGGGAACTGTTCTGAACACACTCCACAGCTTTGGGTACTGAGGAGCTGGAGTGTCCTGCACCATCACTGGGATCTATTGAGGGCAGCAGCAGTGGGGACAAAAGAGCACAAAAGCCCTTCAGCAGCTGGAGAGGGCCAAAGGCTTCTTGGCACGTGTGGAGATACTACAGGGAGAATCTAATCTGGGAACTAACAACTGCTCCTTCCCACCACAAGTCCCTCCTGCTTCCTCATCTTCCAGAGGCAATGCTGGAGGGAAGGAGAGAGAGGATTGTGTGGGACAGCCTGGAAAAGCTGAAGGCAGGACAGAGTGAAGTGGTTTAGGACAGGAAATAAGCAGGACAGGGCTGAGGGATTCTTCCAGTGGGACTCCAGGAGAGGAAAACTGATGCAGTGAGCCCAGAAAAAGGCAGGACACGGGTGAGAAGCTGAGTGGAAGCAGAGGCTGCTGCAGAGGTGAGGGCAGCAGGGAGAGCCTGGGCACATGCCCCAGGATGGGAGAGGCTGAGTGAAGGCAGAGCCTTTGGGTTGCTCACCTGCCTGCCCTGGCTCCTGAAGAACTCCCCCGTGTTCTCGATGACCTGCTCGTCCGTCAGGAGGCTGTAGGGCTGCTCCTTGCACAGCACAAACATCTCCCACAGGGTCACCCCAAATGCCCACACGTCACTGGCTGTGGTGAACTTGCCCTGTGGACAGAGAGGATCAGTTCAGGTGCCCATTCAGTAAAATCCTTTCAGTCTGCACCCTCTGTAGCTCAGCACAAGGATGCACCTGGGGAAATGCTCCAAAAGGAGCCAGAGGTGAGCTGCACACACACAGGGCTGTTTGTAGGGCAGCAGCAGCACCTGGGGGTCTCACAAGCCCTAAGAAGGTGCAGTTTTCACAGGGGCAAAGTTTTGTAACAGGGAGCAGGTCCCAGAGAAGGCCAGAGACTTCTGTGCCTCCTGAGACAGCCTGTTTGAACAGAATAAAATAAACTGATGGAGGGGGGATAGTCACTGGCTACCTCCACCCAAAACAGCAGAGCTCACAGAAAAGCCTTTGAAAGGGAAGCAAAGCCCTCAGGGTGGAAGCAGAGCCAGAGTAGACTCCAGACTCTTAGAGAAAGGCCCAAGATAATTTTGATTTTTGCACATGTAAGAAGCCAGTGACAATGTTCTTGTTGTCCCCGTTTTCTGTCTACAAAAAATGTGCCCAGACTGGCTGTGTTTGGAACAATGTGTTTCTGGAGAAGTAAAAAGAAGGATGCTCAGAAAATAACACAAAACACTTGAGGAGCTGGAGGGCCTGTTTGGGCAGAAAACCTCCCAGCCCCATTTCACCCAGGCTTATCTGGCAACCCTTGCAGTCTGTCAGGGTTTGGAAGATGTTCACATGGGGAAGATGGTGATTTGTGTTTAGATGATTTATGGTTTAGATGCAGCCATAACCAGGAAGAGAGGGTGGATTTCAGAGAGCTTGGGCCAGGCAGCCCCTACAGCAGAGGTAACTACAATTTTTCTGTGCACTTGAAGAGCATGTTGTAAGAAAGCAATTCACCAACTACTACAAGAAAAAATATTTGGTTAAATGTCCTCCAGACTGGATGTATTTGGGCTGTGGAACAACATCCTGAGGGGAGACAGCAGGACCCTTAAATGTGAAGAAAACCCCATAGCCTCAAACCAGACCTGGCACTTGAAACTCTTGTGGTTCAGTCCCTGCCCCTCTCAGCTGGGGGAAAAAGCAGAGAAAGGCAACTTCCTTCAAATTCCAGCAGGAATGCCAGGCATTCAGATGGGGCCTGAGGGATGTGATGCCATCCAGAGAGACCTGGACAGGCTCGAGCAGTGGCCACAGGAACCTCAGGAGGTGTCACCAGTGCTGGAGCTGCCCTGGGATCAGCCCAGGCTGGGATGAGCAGATGGAGCAGCCCTGGGAGAGGGACCTGGGGGTGCTGTGGGGGAGAGCTGGACCTGCCCCAGCCCTGAACCCCCCTGCCCTGGGCTGAGCCCAGTGTGGGCAGCAGGGGAGGGGGGATTCTGCCCCTCTGCCCCTGGGCTCAGGTGAGACCCCACCTGCAGAGCTGCCCCAGCCCTGGAACCAGCACAGGAAGGAGCTGGAGCTGCTGGAGAGATCCAGAGGAGGCACTGGGGGATCAGAGGATGGAGCAGCTCTGCTGGGAGGAAAGGCTGAGACAGCTGAGATTGTTCACCTGGTGAGGAGAAGTTTTGGAGTGAGCTCAGTGTGGCCTTGCAGAGCCTGAGGGGCTGGCAAGAAACATGGAGAGAGAAAATTTACAGGGGTCTGGAGTGCCAGGACACAGGGAATGGCTCCCAGTGCCAGAGGTCAGGGCTGGATGGGATATTGGGCAGGAATTGTTCCCTGGCAGGGTGGGCAGGCCCTGGCACAGGGTGCCCAGAGCAGCTGTGGCTGCCCCTGGATCCCTGGCAGTGCCCAAGGCCAGGTTGGACATTGGGGCTTGGAGCAGCCTGGGACAGTGGGAGGGGTCCCTGCCATGGCAGGAGGTGGAATGGGATGAGCTTTAAGGTCCTTCCAACCCAAACCATTCCATCACATTCTGTATTAAAGGGCATTCTCCTTTCCCAGGATATGAGTTATGCCCAGCACAGCCCCATGGGTTTCTCACCAGGGGCCATGTGCAGCACAGATATTGGTGGAGATTGGCTGGCACACAGCTGTGCCACTGCTGCAGGAGCACAGTGAAGAGCAGAGGAAGAAAGAAAGAAAGAAAGAAACAGAGGCTTTGTGCAGTGCCTACCAGCAGGATGCTTTCCCAGGCCATCCAACGGATGGGCAGCACAGCCCTGCCCTGGATCCTGTAGTAATCCCCACTGTAAAGGTTCCTGCTCATGCCAAAATCTGCAATCTTGATGGTGTAGTTGTTCCCCACCAGGCAGTTACGAGTTGCCAGATCCCTGTGCACAAAGTTCAGAGATGCCAAGTACTTCATCCCTGAGGCGATCTGGGTGGCCATGTACAGCAGGTTGGAGTGGCTGCAGTGAAGGAAAATAGAACAAAGAAAAATCAGTGGACTTTCCCCACACTCAAGGCTTTATTGCATTTGATGTGTTAGTGACCTGCTGTTTTATTTTCTGCCATCACAGTGGAACTAACCTGTCTCGTTCCAGGGCATGAACAGCCAAGATCCTGGGCTGACTAAGCAGGAGCAGACAGGCTGTCCCTGAAATTCAGGCCTTCACAACCTGACATCCTTTAGATTTATGGTTTTTTACAATATCAAACATTAATCTTGAGATTTTCAAAGAGTTCATGCATCAAAGCACCAACTTTTTGCAGAGAGACATGAAAAATTAAGCTCAGAATCTCATATCTTAAAAACCACTTAGCCTGATATTTTAAACAACACCACTATTCAATATAAATAAATATGCTTATATTAACATAAGTGTGCCACTTCACATTAAAGAGAGTTGACTTGGTTTTAAATATGCTAAACATTATTGAAAATAGAAACATGCATTTTCCATCTAATTTTAATTCCTCCATTAGCTGAATGAAGATAGGATTAATAAAGCTAATAAAGGATAAATAAAGCTAATACACAGACAGAGTTTGGACCATCAGACTCTCAGCATTCTTCCCACACTATTGCTCTGTGCTGCTCAGCTTGTTTCCCACTGCTGATGCTCAAATGCTTCACACGACCAAGTGCTCCTCAGAACACATCTGATCAACTGCTCACAGTTTGTATTTTTTTGTAGAGGTCAGTAAAGCTCCTGGCATGTCCTGAGTGCAGGACACCAGGTTAACACTCCTGACAGGACCACTGACAGGTCCTGGCAGCAAGGCTGCTGTTGTCTGGCCACAGTGAGACCCAGCCACCTCCTGTCCTGCACATCAGAGCTTGCTCTGCCTGCACCACAAATCCAAGCAATCCTTTGGGCAGGAACACTCCAAAGGCTCAGCAATGCTGCAGCTCCTGGTCAGTGCAAGGCTCCTTATCAAGCTTTCCTCTGAGGAAAGCATTTCTGCAATAGCAGAGATGCTTTTATGGCAGATTTAATCCTTCCATTGAGGAGGGAGACAAGTGCCACTTCTGACAAAAAGTGCTTTTCTTTGCCAAACATTCTCCTTCTGCTGGCTGATGAAATCTTCTCCTTACTGAAGCTCCACACTCAGCTCCTCTCATGCAATATTTTTTGGACACCAGAGAACATATGAACCTTCTTAAAAGCCTAAGAGACATTCTTGATGTTCATCCCAAAATTCTTGCTGGAATGCAACCGATTTTCACATCAATGAAATATTTGATGCAAGCCCACTAACATAAAGAGGTGGTCACCTCAACAAATACACCAAAGATGGTCTCTGTGACCAGAACAGCTCTGCCAGGGACACTTCAGGGCTACACAGAGCTCCAGAGGCCTCAGGAACAACCCCACACCAAGCAGGACTGGCATCCATGTGCCATGGCAATGGCACAGCAGATAAAACTGGCAGCTCTGTATTCTGATTTATCCCAACAAGAGAGGCAGCTTCTCTTACGTGACACAGGGGATGTTGTTTGAAATGGCAAATTTGCTGTAGATCTCCCTGTGGGACAGGAACTGGTTGAGGTCTCCATTCTCCATGTACTCTGTTATCATGCACAGGGGGTCGTCCCTCACACACACACCCAGCAGCCGGATGATGTTGGGGTTCTTCAGCCGGGACATGATCTTGATCTCCTTCAGGAAATCATTCCTTGTAAGACAGAAAACACCTTTGAATCATAAACTGTTCCTTTGTCTGAGGACAGTACAAGTGGTGTGTTCTCAGTTCAGATTAATTTACACTTTGCACACACAAGTGTGAGCTCATGTTCAAGGCTGACCTCTCCCAGCAGCAGGATTAATGCAGCATTTCAGGCTGATATTCCAGCTTCCCCTAACCCCCACTCCCTGCTGTGTCCTGCTCCTTCCATGAACACATGGAATACACACAGCAGTCCCCAGGGTTAGCCTGTGCTTGGGGAGTATCTGCTTTCCTCCCCAGGTGCACTTACCTGGCTGTTTTGTTGACATCTGATCTCAGCATTTTCACTGCCACAAGAACTGGCTGGTGAGTGAATTCTGAGGATGAGACTCCCAGGAATTCCAGCAGGCCATCAGCTTCACAGAGATGCACCTGCAGGGCAGAAGGCAGAGACAGCTGTTAGAGCACACAAACAGGCAGAAAAACAGAGGAAAACATCACAGCCAGGTCACTGCTGAATGAACAAGTGAATGATCTGGCAAAGGTGACACAGCTGTGATCAGAAATGACCCCAGGGTTGGCCCTAGAACCTGACACAACATGTCCAGGACATAGTCCAAGACACAGGAGCACACAGAGATTAAAGCCAGGTGAGTCCCCAACACACTGGGTTTACTGCAGCAGCCTGGGGCAGCCCAGTTCCCCCAGCACCTACTGGGGATGTTCAGAAAGGCCCCTGAGCCTGGATGTGTCTGATCTGCACTAAAGCACCTCTCACAACCCCAATCAAACCATGGCCTGGCTTGAGGCATTGCTCAGACTTCACTGAGAAGTACCCAAGAACAACAGTCAGTTTTTCAAAATCCTCAAATTCCAGGGGAAAAAAAAAAAAAAAGTGTGTGCATGTGTGTCCCTGATATGAACACCTCACCTATAAGTACATTCAGAGATAAATAGATAAATACTCTAATGACTATACACAATTCCAAATTTCTTCCAATAAATTAATGATTAATGATATAAAATTACTGCCAGGGCTGTACAAGAAGGGGTGACAAGACACTTGCTTAAGAAGTTACCAGAACGTGCATCCAAATGGAGAACTGGGTGGGGAAAGCAAACAGACCTGAGAGTGTGGATAGGGAAAAGGACTGGAAAAGAAGAGAGGACTGGATGTGTCAAAGACTTGCAGCAGTGAGGGGAATGTATTATAGGAACATAATGAATTTTGCATGAAGAAAGCAGCAAGAACTTATGTCACAAGCATGGTGAGGGGAAAATGGGACAAACCTGCAGAACAGGAATGAAGGTACAAAGATGCTGCTGCAGTCCCACAGAGAATGGATCTGCTGTGGGGAAAGGACAGTCATGAGACCTGGGACAGGGAAGAGCCACAGGACTGAGCACAGACAACTCTGAGGTGATGTGTCACCAGGGAAGGGTGGTGGCGCTGCCTTGGGAGAAAGGAACACACAAGACTGAAAGGAAGGAAAAGTAGAGACTTGAAGAAGCAATGAGCCCTGTTTCTAGGAACACAGAGCCAGAGCACAGAGCATGTCATGGCCAGTTTGGGAAAGACTAAGGAGGTGAGAAGGAGAGACAGGAAAATGTAGTGCAGCATATTTGCAAAAGAGCCTGTGATATATGGAAAGGAACAGGCTCTGAATCCATCCTCAAGGAAAACGGAGATGGGAGAACCATCTCCAGTCAATACAGAGGAGGAGTTATTACACTTAGGACAATATGAGAGGAAAGGAGAAACCAGAAGCAAACCAGTGAGAAAATCCTCTCTGTCCTCCTTTTGGAGCACAGAGCAGGATGCAGACAACAGCAGAAAGGGCTGCACTGGCAGCCAGGTGAGGAGGCTGAAGGTGTCAGCATCTCCCCAGAAAACAGTGAGCCAGAAAGAAGTGAGGAGACAGGAAAGGGGCTGGGGTAGGGAAGGTGGGGTGTCAGAATGGAGGAACCACAAAGAAGATCATATCACAGAGCAGAAAGCAGTCAGTGAAGGACTGTGGTTGCCAAAATGTAATAGAGAAACAGTTTAAGACTCTGAGTGAATAAAACCTGAGAAGAAAAAAGACAGTGAAAAAGTGAGAGCAGGAGAGGGAAAGACCTGCTCAGGATGGAGCTACAGATGGTGTGAAAATGAAGCAGGGAGAGAAGAAAAGGCAAGGTAAAAATGTTGATAGCTTGAAAGGAGCTCAAGGAGCAAAGGGAAAGCTTGGCAGATGACAGAGGTGTGCATCATTCTGCCTGAGGCTGCTGACAAAGTGGGGCTTGAGCAAGCAGCAATGGCAGAAAACACGAGGCTGCCACAGTGCTTGGGAAACGTCTGTCCTTGCTTGGGTCAGTGTGCAGAGCACCCCCAGAACCTCCACCTGGACTGGGAAGAGTTTCCAAACACACAGATCTAAAGGTGGGTGGCAGCCATCACGTTTGATATGTCCATGGAAGATGTCAAAGTCTGAATTCCCAACTCCAGGTGGGAATTACCAGAGATACAGGCAGCAAACAGAAGACGTTTCCAAGTTCATCTGTTGCTAAAGACCCCAGGGGTACCAAGCAAAGCCTCACAGCTGCACAAGGCTCAGGCTTAGCCTGGGAATAGCAGCTTTCCACAAGGGCAAACACACATTTTAACTACAACACTGGAATGCAGACCCCTCAGTCCCACTCAGGAATTAGAAACTTAAAAAAATTTAATGAAGAAAACTGGTTTGCTTGTAATTATAGTTTAAAAATTAGAAAGTACTTTTAGTTAGAATAATATTGGATGGTTTTGGTTTAAAGTTTTTAACTAAGTTATTAGTTACATAGGAGATTAGTAAGTAGTTAAAGATTTAAACTTATTAATTGTGGTCATATATGAGGACTAAATATATAAATAGTAGGCTTGGCAATATATAGAGTTGGGGTTGTGAGAAGGATGAACATTTTTAGAAATTACAAAAGAAGCTATTAAAGTCGAATAATTAATGAGATTACTTATAAAGAACTATGTAAAATTTGTGTTTTAACTGTTAATGTTAGAGGAAATACATAGTTGTTTAAATAAATTAGACTATTGGCATAATTTTATTTTAATACAAACTGTTACAATAATGTGTTTTCAGCGTTGAAATACTATGGGACTTTAAAATAAATGTTATTTTTATAATAACTAAGTTTATTACAATAACTAAATTGATTGCAGGTTTTGAAACTTAAATCATATCACTTAAAGTTAATTTATATGCAATTAAAATATGAATTAATAAGAATTATTGTTTAATTTGAAGTGTTTTTTTAAATGCATTAAATTGTTAATGCAAATTAATATTTTTAAAGTTTAGTTAATTTAGACTTTTTCTTGTAATTTGTGACATTATTTCAAATTGTTTGTCGAAGGGAGTAGAAGATTTGTCTCTGCCAGAGTGTCTTAGGTTGCAGTACAGGATGTGCCCAAAAGTCTGGATTCTGTCCCCATCTGTTAAAGCAGCTATGGCAGTGATCCTGATCTCTGGGGGAGATCTCCTCTGTTCATGTTCCAGCTGTTCACCCAGCTGTTGCAGTGTTCTTTATCTTGCCCACAGCCCATCCTCCCTCCAGGAGATCTCTCCTGTCCATGGCCATGCAGTCCCAGGGCAGGGCTGATCAAATTCCATCATCCCATTGGGAGATGCTCCAGCCAGGGCAGGAGCCGAGCATTTCCTACCCAGATCAAAGGGGAGATTTGGAACAGCAGAGCAGCCTTTTCCCACTGGATCCCAGAGGAAAACCAGAGCCTTGCACATCATCCCTGCAGCTTTGGAGGAAAACTGCACCTTGTGCAGGAGCCCTGCTCCAGCAGAACCACATCTGTCACTGCAGGAGGATGCAGCCACCATGGAATGGGACTGCACCAACCCTGACTGACTGACGGGGGCACCTTGGATCCTCACTCTGGCCGTGTTTGGGTTTGTTCTCTGTAATACTGGATTTATGTTTTAATTTTCCTAGTAAAGAACTATTATTCCTATTCCCATATCTTTGCCTGAGAGCCCCTTAATTTCAAAATTATAATAGCTTCGAGGGAGATGCTTTACATTTTTCATTTCAAGAGAGGCTCCTGCCTTCCTTGGCAGACACCTGGCTTTCAGACCAGGACACAGGCACCTCCTTTCTGCTGGAGGACAAGAATGGCTGTACCTCTCCAAACTGTCCTTCCCCCAGCTTCTCCTTGAGGCGCAGCTGCTGCCGGGGGAACTCCCCCACGGAGATGTCCTTCTTGGTCAGGGAGTCCACGGTCAGGGCTGGCACTGCGTACATGTTGTTGCCAGTCACCCCCTGCAGGTGCACGATGTCGGTCTCTGCATAGTGGGGGACGTTGTTCTGGAAGCCTTGGTGAGGGGTGGACTTGGTCAGGTCGGGCTCAGCATAGTCCCCACTGCACACTGAAAGGAGCCAAAGGCAGGTGAGTCACACACTCCCTCCCTCAGAACCAGCATGTCCCAGTTTCCACTCCTCCCAGTCCCACAGCTCTGGGAATTTGGCCACCTGCTGCCTTGTACTGAGGGACACCTACACGGAGACACTGCTCTGCTTAACCAGAAAAATACCTGGGAGCTGCCAGCAAATTCCTGCTCAACACAGTCTGTTCTAGCCAGCCATGAGAGCTACAGGTCTTGTCCAGACAGGGAGGTGAGCCTGAAGTGATTTTGTGTTTCTGATTCATCCTAAGTACACTCAGTTCCCATTACCTGACGCAGGGACGTCGTTTGAAACGTCAAACTTGCTCTGAATTCCCTCCTGCAACAAGAGCTCATCGAGGTTTCCATTTCCCATGTCCTGTGGTAGCAAGCTCCTCTCCTTCTTACAGCTTATTCACATAAATATGGGCTAATGCTTTAGAATTAACTCCCTGTAGGGTCAGTATTACACAGAACATTTGTTCTGCTTCAAATTCACACCCTGGCTCAATCCAATCAGTCTCCCTGTGTAGAATAATGCTGGATCTTAGCAACTTGTCAGTGTGAGGAATGCAGCACTGCCTTCACTGAGTACAAAACACTGTTGGAAACATTCCCTTCTGTGTGGGTCCAAAAGCTCCCTGGGGGCTGGAAGCCAGGATACCACGGACAATTCCCTGCTCTATTTCCTTCAGATTTTTCTACAGGAATTTCAAAGAGCCCTAGCTGCAGAAAAAGGTGTCAAAGGTCTCCCAAGAGTACTGCAGGCAGCATCTCCACAAATAACATGATTAGTGTGACTGCCCAAACCAGCTGCTAAAAGATGACCTGGGTAATACATAAACAATCTTCAAATAAAACAATAAAAGGCCACCACCCTCTAGTGGGACTGCTGCTCCAGCTGTCACAGTTCCATGCCAAGAAGTGCCACTGTTCCACAATACTGCCTGAGCTCCCTGGTTATTGCATTGCACAGGAGTCAAAGATGGCAACTTAGACACTGATAATAAAAGAAAAAAACATGCAGCTTCTGGAGGCTGCTGATGTTACCTGAATCCTCTGCACTTTGGGAGAGCTCTGGAAGCTTTTGGAGCAGTGTGGCTGGCTGGTGATATTCCAAATCCAGTGGGAAAGCACGTTCATAGGTGGGATTTGACTGGTGGATCTGGGTCTGGTTGTTGGCAATGGTGTAGCTGTAGAAGGAGAGGCGAACAGTGGCATCCTCCTCCAGGATTCGACGTGGGGCCTGCACAGGAGAGGGCAAAAAAAACCCAAAACACTGAGGCAATGCTCAGTTGTTAAGTAATGCCTTGGCTGCAACCACAGCAACTTCCAGTAATATCTTGGACAGGGCTGGCATCCTCCCCTGCTGTGAGATCAGCTTTAGCTACTCCGTGGAGCTGGGGAAACCCAGTGCTTTTCACATAGTTCTGAGCTCATTAGGGTTAATGATGAGTTCTGGACTTGTGTCTACATAATAGCCCCATTGTATTACCTTTTCCAACCTCTTCTGAACATATTGCTTCCAAAGAATGATTATTATAATCATCAGGAGCAGCAGAATAATAGCCACAAGGCAGCCCACGAGGATGGAGGTGTTGGAGTCATCTGCCTTCTCCCCTATCCAGGTGCTGGTTACAGAAGATGTGGTTCCTGCAATCACAGAGAAGGAGAATCTGGGGTTAAAGCACCAGATGTTTTCTGTGCCAGCCAACTTCCTACAGTCTGGTAGAGAAAACATCTTGGGCAGCTCCCTGAACATTAACACCAGCTGCATTCACATTTTGCTCTTACCAGAAATTCTCATTTTGGAGGCTCAAAGAGCTAAGAACTGTGCAGAGAACTTCTGCAATCAAAGATTGCTGTGAGCAGAACAGATTCCTGCAGTGGATCCATCCTAGAGCAGACAGTGCTCAGAGTTTCACTGGCTCCACATTAAGTCTCCAGTTCATGTTCTGAGGCAGTCCTGGCCAGCTGAGGCTCAGGGGACTGTCACATGCTGCCCCGTGCAAGAGGCACTGACCAGCCTATCCCCAGATCTCCAGAAATGGAGGGAAAGACAATGTTAACTGGGATGTTCCTGTGAAATTCCCCAACACTTGAGTCCTTGGCATGGCCAAGGGGCAGGAGTCCTTACCCCAGGTGCCCTCAGTAACGTTGTGCTCTGTTTCCAGGAGATCCGTGGTGCTTGTGGCTACCGTAACAAAACTGGGATTCACACTCTCCATGTCTGTGGAAGGAAAGGGAGTGTGTCAGCCCAACAAAACCTCCCTGCTCCTGCCACCATCCCTGCAATCCTAACCCCAGCAGGATGGGGCTGGGGTTCAGGCAGCAGATCAGGAACAGGAGGGGCTGCTGTCTGCAAGGTAAGCAACACACAGCACCCAGGGAATTCCTCCCCCAGGAATGTCCTCTCACTACAGCTGAACAGAGACTTTGGAGTAGAAAGCTACAGCCACACCTTTCCCTGTCAGCCCTGGTGGTTTTCTCCAAGACTTTTGTCCTTTTCCCTCCAGAGCCTTTTAAAGCACCTCATGGCATTGATTTCTACATCATAGTTAAGACTTAAGGAAAAAAAAGCCAGCCTCTGTTTTTTAATAATCTGCTAAATTTGATCTCATAATCTCTAGATATACTTGTATTATTCCTAACAAAACACTTAGTAAAGAAAAACAAAAATCAATGTCATAGTCAGCAGGAAGCTGGGGAAGTGGAGGCAGGTACTGATCTCTTCACTCTGGTGACCAGGGACAGGACTCAAGGAAACAGCTGGAGCTGTGTCAGG